CCCCAAAACCCCAAAACCCCAAAACCCCATTATGAAAAATTAGATAATTATTTTTTAATTTTTTTATATAAATTACCTATAAATTAAGGAGAAATCGAAATTGATAATTAATAATAGTTTATTCTCAGACAAAGTCATCATTTTCATCACCCCATCCAGTTAATCTAGCTCCTTTTTTATTCAATGCTTTGCTTACAATGGTATTCTTATCATTTCCAGCGGCAAATGGGTTACCACCCTGTCTACTAATTCTTTTTGGACTTCCATCGTAAAATGATTTGGCATTTTGCTTTTTGAAATAATTGAAGTTTTAGTAATTTGTACTACTCATTGTTGATCCATTTGCTATCCGATTTGCAAGCTTCACAGTATCTGAAAAGTTTCTTTTGTGATGGTTCCCACCAGCATTGCTTTCATCTTCATATTCATCTAATTTATACTGCATGTAAGATTCTCTTATTATATCTAGCTTTCTTGGAGAATCATGAAAAGTTCTATTATACTGATCATCGTCTTAGTAGTAGATATGACTTTAATGATTTATACTCTGAGGTCTAAACTCTTTAAGCATTTTCATAACATCCTAAGCATTGTGATGCTTCTCTATAATCTACATTCTATTAGCTTTTGAATTTTCATAATGATCCTCATACACTCCCTAAGCAGATCTAGATTATCCCCTGTTAGCACTTTGCTTCCTGTTAGATTAATCCAGATTCATCAATTACTGTTGAAACTTCTTTTAATTCGAGTCAAAGCAGTTTAGGTATTTGCCAGCTTTATTAATAGGATTCTGATTACTTTCAGCTTATATTCTCTAAATCAATTTTTAGTACCAGCTTTGTATAACCATTCTTCTACGATTTTAGGCTGTAGATTTCTTGAAACTCATTTAATCAGAGAGTAGTACGTCATTACTCCCAAAACCAGGATATCTATTTTGACTGTTAAACCCAAAGTCTGCTTTAGAAGTATTAAAGATTGGACTATCGTAGAATTTACCTGAAGCCATATTACTAATTGTATTGTCTAAGCCATATTTATTCCTTATGTTTTACATAGCAGGACCTTGCGGATTACTGAAATTATACATGGTATATTTCTTAGGTGAAGTATTTTAAGATTTTTGATAAACTTTATTAACACTTTAGATCATTAAGCCACTTTAGATTTTATCTTACTAAAACATCATTTCTTCTTACGTAATATTCTTCCAATCATTTATGGTGCTGTTAAATTAAGGCTTTGTCTGAGTATTTTAAGGTATTTATTGCTATTGCTATTGTAAATTTTGAAGCAAATCATTTATGTTATATGGTTAAAATTACTGGTGAGTATAGTTTTGTGATTCATTCATTGAGTTTCTTTTTGTTTTTATCATTGTCTAATTAAGCTCATCTGTGTTCTTTCTAAGTATTTACTGCTATTAGATATTAAACTTTTGGTCTTAAATGGTTGGTAAAAATTACTTATCCTGGGAATCTTTGACATGCTCATTGACAGATTTAGAATGCAGATCTTTAGCTTTTTTACTTTTTAAGCATTTTGTAATATTTTTAATACTTTAATTATTGGGTTCTTATCTTTTGATGCTTTGGCCTCGGACATAATCATATTCTTCAGAGTAATCTAACTTCTAGTTATAGCTTTTGCTATTCATGTTGTGCCATTGAGACAAAAGATTTTGAGTCTAATTTAACGGTTTGTTTAAATTCTGTTTTTTCTTTTTAAAAGGTTTCTTTTATGTTGTTTTGATTTCTTTAAAGTCACTGTATGCATTTTGATCATGTGATATTTCTTTCATTGTTTGGTTCATAAGGCTACGCTCTTGCTAAAGTATATTTAAATCATTATTGTTAGAATTCTTTCTCTTACTAGGCTGATTATAAGGTACTATCTTTATAATAGGATGATCGTTATAGTATTGAGTTAATTAGGAAAAGCTTCTCTAGCTTTAGCTTTTTGCATTAACATTCATTAATAAGCTAGTGGATTTATTTATTAATAATCATCATTAAAATTAATTCTCTATCATAGTTTCTGTTATTTATCCATTTATATTGACTTAGGGGTTTTGGGGTTTTGGGGTTTTGGGG